CCCCAAAACCCCAAAACCCCAAAACCCCAAAACCCCATTCGCAACACAAATATTGATAAAGGTTTATTATCGATTTAATTTTCCTATCAGAAATCACGTTGCTCTGTTGCGATTTCTCAGCAATTTTTCTAGAATTGTCTACAATCTTAGAATTGGAAAAATATCGTGAAGAGAGTGAGCAGCACTGAGTATATCACGTAGTATCTGAAACTAGCCTTCTCACAATCGGTCTGGTCGATCTTCTTCTCTTCTTGAGCTGCCTTAGCTAGTGGGGAATAGACCTTGAACCAAACATATGGAACATATGAGGTAATGATCGCCAAAGTGTATCCTCCAATAAGAGAAGGTGAGTCAGCAAAGCTGTCCAGAATCTGATATGGTTTGTAGCTATTAGCGTGGTGATCTGAATGCCTCTGGAGCTTAAAAAGGAGGTAGTTTGTGTATCTTTGAGGAGCATTCCAAGAGTGCTTGATATTTACGGGCTCATAAATACCATTCTCATCTTTATCTCTTCTAAGTCCATAATGCTCAACATAATTGATTGCTTCAAGCATAAAGATACCGAAGAAGGCATATCCGAGTACAAAGAAGAGTCCGAGGAATCCAAAGTAGTAGGTTACCACTAAAACTATGGCAGCATGGCCAATGTTGAAGAGAACTAATCTGTTCTTAAAGAACCAGATAAGGATGTTAGTTTCCTTTTTGAGTCTCTTGGTTTCATATTTCCAAACAGACCTAAAATGTTAATGACATCACCATTACCTATAACTTCCCATGACAGTTTTGGGTAAAAATTCATACAAGCTTTCTCCAATGCTGGAAGAAGCTGGATCGAGAGGAGTAGCAACATTCTTGTGGTGGCCCTTGACATGTTCAATAAAGAAGTGACTGTAGAGCACTTTGGTGTATTCTAAAGTTCCAAAGATTTTATGTACAGTTTCTCTTCTGTGCAAAAGTTCATGTCCGACTACTTCTCCAAGAGCACCGAAATGAGACAAACTGAAGAGAAACATGATTCTATGGAGGATTCCAGAGAATTCATCAGTTGAGAACACATAGATGCCCCAGATATAAGTAAAAGTGCTAATAAAGGCAAAGGCGTACAATGGTATTAAAAACCTTTTGTCTTTTTCATATTCTTTCGAAACGGCGCTTGTTAAATTCTTAGTATCTTGTGGGAAAACCATGTCAATGAAAGGAACAGCCACATAGAACATCCACAAGATGATATGGATGTTTTTATTCATGTAATAGTAAGAAGCATAGACTATTCCTACATAAATCAGAACGTGTGTAAACATAAAGATTTCTCCCCAAGAAGCTTTATTCTTCACATTAGGGTTTGTCTTTTCACTAGAGTCAGTTTCAGCACTTCAGTCTGATGAGATAGATGATCTCTTGTTCAGAGTTTCCTTCTTCTTTGATACAATATCAATCTTTTCCATTTAATATTTAATGATACTATAGCCTCTATTATTTTCTTTTATGGGGTTTTGGGGTTTTGGGGTTTTGGGGTTTTGGGG